CAAAATTCCTGATGATATCATGACTTGTAAACGTTTCTCTGCATAACTTCGTTTCACTGGAAACAGGATCCAGCCTCTAATTTCTGGGAAGAAGGATACTCCATCTCCACTCACGAACCTTATCTTTTCGTCATTATCGTTCAGAAAAGTTGTTAGTCTCGCAATATTCTCTTTCTTGTCCATCAAAGCAAGCTTGCCACACTGTGATAAACGCTTCACTATACCGTAACTGTCTCGGTCATCATAGTTTACCGGATATACGGGAAAATCTTGTATTTCGCTTTTATTGTATGGAGAAGGATCTACGGATTCAACTAATGAACAAAATTCTGCAAACGTGCGTGCCTTGACAGACGTCAGATTCGTATCTGGAATCCGGAAATGACGCAGAAGTTTTTTGTACAATTGTTTTGCCGTTTCCTTATATTCAATAAGGCGCTTATGTTCGGAATGTTGTTCTGCTATTTCTTTAAATCGTACGAGAAGTTCAAGATAGAAACTTCTGGATGGAGTATCACTTTCGCGGTCTTGACTAAAGTCCTTCAGAAGGAAGATGGGCAGTAAAATCTTCATGCCTTCAACATCCAATAAACTTTGATACGGAGATTGGTGCTTCGTCCGGATTATCATATCCATGGTGAACCAAGTTTTGTACCAATTCACTAAAAGAGTTCCTACCAGAATAATCCAGATTCCGACAATGGCATGAAGGCCCATCGAATAATGTTTTCCGTGTAGGAATGTAAGCTTGTAATTAATTCTGGATAGCAGCACCGAATTTTCTAGTGATATTCCAATTATGAGAAATGCTCCGTCTGAAACAACTTGTGTGCGCAATGCGGTCAAAATTATGACAACTAAGGTGAAACTGGTCGCTACCACTGCCCAGCTCTTCCCGTCAAACGGATCAGTCATCGCGGAAAATATGTCGAACCTTGATCTAATCTTATAACAGGTTACATAACTGTATAATTGAATTTTATATGGGATAAATGCGAACCGTTTTACTTCATGCTTGGTGATGCGCATGATCGGCGAGAGTGTATGAATTGGCTGAACCTTTCTTAAATCTTGCGCTAACACGTCTTGGAAAATCCAAAATTCGAAAAAACCACTCAGACTGGTGAGACTCGCTAGTCTACGATGCCCGTGAAGGGAAACTTTACCTGAAGAGTAAAAACTATGGATTACACTTCGGCTAAATTTCAAGCGCGAAGTCCAAAAATATTTGTTTAATGTGGATACATTTTGACTTATTATGTCCAATTGGTGCATACAATTGGTGGGAAAACAATCTATCGTATACCATGGTTCAGAATGCTCAATTTTGACGGAGGGTGTCTTAATATGGTGCATGTTATGATAGTGTATCCGTAGCAGGTTGTCCCCTTCCATTAAGTTGTTCAAATCTACTAGTAGTATTTCTCGTAAGCCGAGTTTTTCTAAAATGTGGTAATCAGTTAGATACTTTTGAACCTCGATTTTAATGGTTGTCACCCAAATGAAATATTGTGACTGCCAGTTTGCCTCGACGAAGTATGGTTGCAGCATGAACTCCTGATTGTGATCACTTGAAAACAATCCACTCTTTTCTGGGAGAATAGCAAACGTTGTCCAACAATGTGGTGCAGGATTTCGTCGCACCTGGATGGAGAATTTGGGGAAGATAGTTTTCGTCCTTCTCAAATTAGTGAACTCTTGGTATTCTAGCAAGGCAATTGGTCCATTCGTCGGATTGCTGAAGGAATTCCATTTGCTGTTTTTTGGAGTGAATACCATTGTCGTACAGTTTTCGAATGGTTGAAGATGCTCAGAAGTTGTATCAGGGATTATCAGGGAACTACCAATTCTTATTGCTGACATACCAAATTCAAAGTTTGTCAAAGTTTGGAGGAGAATCGCCGCAAGGACACGGGATGAAATAATGTGTGCCATTTTTGCCTGAAACTAATTTTGTTCTGCAATGCAGGCGAAGGTTTGAGGGCGAATTATTATAAAATTCAAATATATCTCTGCATTCATAAATCCTTCATTGTTTGCTGAAGATGGCGGACCATGATATTTGACTAATTCCAGTTTATGTTGTATATAGATTTCCCTAGCGCTGTGAGAGTTGCAGCTAACACTTATCTGTACAATGCAATACGTACAACAATACAATTTATAATTAGGATGCAATTTACGTATTAAGCTCGCCAATGTAGATAAGTTTCGAAATAAACCCTTTATGCCTCAAGTACGATTTCTTGTCTCCACGGCCACCGCTGATCGTTGAGAAAAAAATCACCGTTGTCGAATAAGTATAAAGTTCTTCTTGAACCTCAGTTGTAAATAATTAATGGGCCAAAAGGTATGAATTTATGCACCGCACAAAATTTCGCTCGAACGTTTGTGCCTATGTAAAAGAATAAAACGAATGTGGAGGCTTTAGTTAATTGGTTGTTTAATTTTTTCGTGCAATTATTCATTTGAAAATTTGTTTGGAAGCAGTTCGAGTACAACTTTACCCACACAAAAGACAGGAAATTCGTGCTGCGTATAAGGTTAGTAAAACACAAGAAATAGGTTTAATGTACTCACACATACACACGTGCAAACAATTTACGCCTAACCAATTATATCAAAACTACTAGTGGCAAAAATTTTCATAATCACGTAATTACAAATTATGGTTGTGAATTGAACGTTTATAATCTCATCCGAAAACTTACTTGAACTGAAACTAAATTTGCGGTTTAATGTACACAATCATCCTGTTCTTTGTTCAAAACAACGAGTGGGAGCAATGAGACAATTAGATATGAAGTGTTACCTTTAGCTTTGATAGACGAAGCAAATGTTCCATTAATGCATGCCAAATGCCAAAAACTACTGGACGGATATTGAATTTTACCCGCCGCAACTAAAGAATGTAACCAAGCTTATTCTATGTAAAATTTTAACTTGGATCAGAGAATTGAAAAAACTTTGTGCGAGGGATCCGGCATAAGTTTTCGGCCTGACTTTGAAGTTATTTTGCGCTACTTTTTTTGATGGCTCGAAAGATAAACTCATATGGATAAACTCACAGTAATTTCAAAAAATTAGGGTCATGGCCGAGTTGGCGGAGCTGTAGAGAGCAACCGAAACCAGTGAAACAAACCAACCCACTCAAGTTGAGTATCAATCCATGATAAACTTTTTAATGGTACAAGGGATCCCCCCAACAGAAATTCGTCACCGACCCCTTGATTTAATCCCTTACTTTTCCCTTACCCGTTTGAAGAATGGGCCAGCCAATTTCGTCTTGACAAAAAATTAGCCGAAAACAAATATGGACAAGGACGACCAAGTTTCATGATTTTCGAAATAACCAAAAATTGGAGGAACTGATCATGATCGATCGTCCAATTAAAAATTGGGAGATAGCTCAGGACTTGTGGATTTGTAAAACAAGTGTCCCCACCATCCTACACGAACGTCTTCCCATCAACCAGGTCTTGAAATATGGGTGATATTTAATTTGAGCATTCAGCAAAATCAAACTCCGAGTCCAGCCTTCCCCACAAAATATGACCTTCAAAACGGATATATGTACTTCTTTTTACATTTAGTCGCTCGGCATGAAACCTGGGTACAAGGTTATGACCAGAAAGTAAGCAAAAAAAACAGTGAACCAGACGGATTATCCACCCCAGAAGAAATTGAAAGTGCAAAAATCAGAAATTAAGATGGTCTCACCCAGTTTTTTGGACTCAGAAGGAATACTGCTCTGGGAATTTTTGGTTCAGAGAAGGACGATAACTGGGGCTTATTATCCTACAATTTCGAAAGTTTATGCCAAGCCGTTGTAGAGAAAAGTCCAGGAGGAAATTCGCGTCGCCTACTTCTTTTTTGCGACAAAAAACATCCAACTTTCAAAGGGTGGAATTTTAAGCCAAAAGATATCAAAATTATTTCATGCCCTTTATAGTCCAGACCTGGCCCCTGGTAACTACTACATATTTCGACATTTAAAAAAACCTCAGGGGGAGGAGATTTTCCACGATTTATGAGATAAAAGTCGCTTTTAGAGCAGCAGGAGTAAAAAATTTATCTAGACAGGAAGAGTATCTGAAATCGAAGCGGACCAAGTGTGTTGACCTCGCAGGAAATTATATCGAAAAGTGATAAGGTAAATATTTTAAATATATTGTCCCTTCAAGGTCAGGCCGAAAATTTATGCCGGATCCCTCGTACGTACTAAATTTATCCATGGTTTTCCAGGTTTCACCAAAAATAGCAACTGCCTATCAAATCCCGCCTACGCTGTCAACCTGTTCTACAATACTAAATATAATGAGGTCAAATTTAATATCACTTGTTGTTTAGCTTTTTAATAGGGTATGAAACCATAGAATTGGACCATAATGGTGGGAAGTTGTTTGCAGAAAGTTTGTAGTGCAAAACAATTTAAATCGTTCCACAAATGGGATACTCCTTCAAACCGTATTGTCGACAACATGTATGGGTAGAGCACATAATGATATTCCTGATTAACACGTGCCCCATTATAGAAATTTGAACATAGGAATCGATCTAACATAATTTTATTTCGTGTTATATCAAGTTAAAATTTAGTACTGTATGGTATCAGGGTATTATGTAAACATATTCTTGAATGTCTGGGGAGTCCCCAATAGTACAATGGGGGGAGTACATTTCTGTGCTGGACGGTTGATTGGTTTGGCCGGTCGCGCCTATTTTTTTTTTAAGTAGATGGATGAATTAGTTCCACAAATGCCAAGAATTATGAAACTTTGAGCTGTGCAAGACTAATTACATAGCGCGCACATTTATACCCAAACCATAAAACTTTCCGATCCGTTACGGATCATCCGTATCTCTTAGAGTTGTTCCTCTAATTTTTTCATATCTGGAGTTAGAAATTCCGACTTGGAATAATACTAGCAATTTGTGAGTTTTGGTTGAAACTGTTTTATTCATTTTACTTATAAGGAGAACATATTTAACTTTGATGATGTAACACTGTAAGTCCCACAAAGTGGATATTTGGTGAATGAATTGTGTAAAATATGTGAGAATAAAATAAATTCATATAATATACCTACATCATATTTATTTTCGTATGCCTCTATGTATGTATGTCGCCTTGTCAAACAAACCTACTTTTATCCAAGGTTGCGGACAATACATATATTTCCAATGTATTCACAATTAGTAGCGATAGGGTTACGTAAACCCAACATTCAAAGTTCCCTCTTGGTCAAGTAAATAAATATGTAGCATAATACATAATTTTATTTCATTGCTTCCACTTAAGCCAAACTTTTCTAAAACTTCCTACCACCGAAGACCTTTCCCCTGCCAAAGTTACTACCGCCAAAAGTCCGCATACCCCAACACCTATCGTGGTGACGTAAATCTCCTGACCCCTCTCCGGCACGGACTCCACTTCTGACGGAAACCTCTGCCTTTTTACCTCCCTCTCATTCGCCACTTTTATCCCGAGGGATTTCTTCTGCTCATTGTAACCCTCCCAAAGGTAATCCATCACGCCAGACTCCATGTATTTGAGGAGAATCCTGTTGTACGTGGGAAGAATGTGGGGCATCTTCATACTTACGAAACCCACCGTGTGGAAAGAGATGAAGGGTGATTTTGCCAGACGAAACAATTTCCTGCCTCGATTCGTCACAAGTTCCTCAATCGCTTCAGGGATCAGGCCATGAAGGGAGCCCATGCAAACGTGGCGTGCTTTTTGAGTAATCCTTAAGCACTCTTCCTACATATCAAAATTTAAGCAGGAGATGACAGGACGATTTTATACTTTCAGAAATGGGGTGACGATTAGAACCAAGGTAAACGTAGATGACGTAGCAATAAATTTGTAAGTAACTGGTTATGCTTATTAAATAATAAATAAATTTATAAGAATGTGGTCACAAAATTGCAACCAGTTGAATAAATTAGATACACTCTTAGAAACTGGGTATTAAAAAAATTGAGCGGTATTTATATTTAACTCTGCCGCTTCGGTATTAAACGGTTGTACTACTCTGGTATAGATTCGTTAATGAAATAATACTATGTGGTAATTATTTTATTACTTGGTATTATTAAATTGTGTACCGCCGGGTATTTTTTTTTAACTTATTACCAAGTCATTACAAAGGCGGTAAAGTCACATATCAATACCGCGCTTTACTGATTTTCTTAAGAGGCTATAACCACGCAGTGACAACTTCATAACCATAGGGGAGGAATCAAGTACGTTTACTTTCTGGTACTGATATTTCGGGGAAGGGAATTAATTCCCTAAAAATTATGGCTTTGTAGAAAAATAATTTTACATACATCAAAATTCGGAAAGTCCTTGAATACTCTGGTGTTGAGATGAGAAATTATTTGGTTTCCTTCACCCGCCAAGGAGATAAAGGCACTCCCCTCTGCCGTACTGTTCATGGAGGCAAAACCAATTTTGTACTCTTTGGCTTCGTACAGTTGTTCAAAATCCGCCGGGGGATGGCTGAGCTCGGGTTTCGTCAGATTAGAGATGAATGCCGTCTTGAGGTCAGAGCTTATGACGAATATTGCACCAAACCAAAACGTCAGAATTAACCGAGAGCAGCGGTTGCTAGAGAATTTGCTGCAAAAAAACAATATCTCGATATTAAAAATTAAATTAAGGCTCTCTGGGATGACGCGTTGGCGCGTAATCTCACTGTACCCCTGTCCAATGTCTTTAAATGCAATTTCTAAAATTGCACCAACTTCATGAGTTTTCGAGGAAATTTATTTTACAAAAAATGGCAAATGAATAAACTAATTTTTTAGAATAGCAAGGTCTTGCTAAAAATAGCTTTACACTAAAATTTCAAAAGTCCTATTTATCTTAAAACTCATGAAGTTGATACAATTTTAGAAACGGCATGTAAATACATTGGATAGGGGTACGGTGAGATTACGCGTCATCCAAGAGAGCCTTAACGAGGAAATGTAACCATAAATCAACCTTAATAAAATTTACTTAAAATTTCATATATCTCACATTTTGGAATTTAAGTACACTCTTAGAAAAAACCCACGGGGTAAATGCACATTTTACACCATGCGAAGTAATGTTTACTAAATCTAGCGTTATACTTACCCTGAATTTAGTAAACATTACTTCGTACGGTGCAAAAAGTGCATTTACCCCGTGGGTTTTTTCTAAGAGTGTATTTACAACGACATTTGTTTCGTTTAATTTTTCCCACCTGTAATAACTTCTGGGCACGCTTAACTCGAAAATACACATCGCCAGAAAGGCCAACGCATTTGTAAACTCATTCCACGAGCCTTTCGTCAACAGCAAGGCATACACAAAAAATGAGGCCGTCATGAACAGGGCAAATTCCAATCCAATCCCGTCTCTAGCCACGCCCAGCAGGTGGGTGGAACCTTCCTCCTGTGAGAGTCCGGTCACAAAACTGAGTCCTTCGGGTATCAGGGCGACCGTGGGTACCGAGATCTCAGCTCGGTCCAGAGTCAGAGTCAACCATGGAGTGAGGTGACACTCGTTATAAAGTATGTGGGAGAAAATCCCTGTCCATCGCCCAGTCGTGGCGTTCTTTCCTCCGTAAGTGTCAGATATCACGGGGGTTAAGGTGGCATTGAGTTTTTGGGAGAGGGACAACACTGGGGCCAAAATGTAGTGCTTGTCAGTCCCGTTTCTTCTGAAATATAGGTTTAAGCCTACACAACATAATCATTTCTTTATGGAAATTATGAAAAAGTATCTGAAACAAATATAAATTTAATACAGGATCGTCACAGTTGAGCAGAAATTTATGTTTGGCTAAAGTTAGGAAGACTGAAAACCTGGGAAATCTAGAACTATTAACATTCTGGGTTCACATGAAGAATTTGTCAGATATGAATTAATCGGGTTAGTCAAATACATAATCTGACTTTTGAACAATATTCATACTCAAAACCGAGAAGTAAGTAAAATATTTACGGTTTTTCCCAAATTATTTTACGAGTAAGGAATTTACTTCGACTTGACATGGAAGTATGTCTAAAATATTTACTTGCAAGTTTCAAGGCCTACCATACATCAGGTACTTGTTATGGCTCTAAAGGGATGGAAGCCTGTCAAGTACGGTTCAGCTACCTTTGTGATTTCGGGGCAACGTCATACCATAAACTTTGAGACTTACAAGTGTTGCCTAACCAGAGCTTCATGATGCCAAGGAACCACCCAGAGAATTTTTCCTGTGTGGAAATTTGTACGATCGAAATCACACGAATTAATTCCAAATAATTTTTCAAATTCAATTTCCTCCAAACTCATTGTATCAACATTGGGTAAACGGCAATGAAACGCAAAATCCTTTATCCAGGTGATGCCATCATCACTATTATGATCTACGTCATTTTTTGTACAATAAAATAGATGAGCTGTTCTTTTTAAAAACTCGAAACTTGTACTGGAAATCGCGGGAAGTTGCGAACTTGACGAGAGAATTACGACAGTGCACTTCACGTTCTTTCGGGTTGCCACTACTGCACCGTCGATAAAAGGTTTTGACTTTGCCGTCATTTTCATTATCCAGAATTACGGAAATTAAACCAAGGGATGGCGACCGAAAACTATCAGTGGTAAGTTTTAAATATTTCTCCATCCTCAAAAATAAACAGGGTAGCAATTTTTGGAAATAATTTTGATTCTCGTCGACAAGCTGACAAAAAACGTACACCCTTGTGTGCCTGAAGTACTTGTGAGAGTGTATGTTATAGAAATATCCATGTCACCTTGTCCATGTCACTCAAGGTGATTCTATCAATGTCAATCCCTACACTCTAAAAAATATCGCGTAAAATTCACTAAATTTTGAGTGAAATTGCCACCAAGACAACTATTGGGTAAAAGTTACCCAATAAAAGTTAAAATTTATCCAGCTTTGAAAGATTTTTGCTCAACCTTAAGTAAATTTTAACTTTGGCGGAGCAAATTTTACTCCATAGTAATCTTGGTGGCAATTTTACTCAATTTTTTTTACAGTGTATATTGGATTGATATTTATGAAATATTTAGATCAATAAATATATCCAATTTGTATTTATGTTCAGGTCGGTCAACGTTCAAGGGCTGCTTTCGATTTGCATATTTGATATGGTTTAATCGATATGTGCTAAACGATTAATACATTTATCATTTAGATACTTTTATTCTTAGTAATGCTATTTGTTTTGACGCTTTTTAGTGAGTACATAACCTATTAAGTTGGTTAGGCGCCCATATTTTTGATATGTGCGACGTATGAATCCGATATGAATAATTATAAAACTTTCTCCTGTATAAAATCTAATAATCAACTTCGTCACTTACTCCAGAACTGAATAAATTTTGGTGAATATATTCTGTACCCGATCAATTTTGATAAACGAACACATGCATAGTTCCAAATGACAAATTTTTAATACATACAACAAAAAAACACATTGTAACAAAAAGATAATATGTCAAACTAGCGTCCCCTTCCCCTCAGCAGAACGATAACCACGTCCAAGGGGGGCACACCCATTCGTTCCCTCATGCGGCCGGATAAGAACAACCAAATAAGTTACTTTAAATTCCCTTCCTGTTAGCACTAATAAAGAGCAAATCATGGATAAGTGACTTATCGACTTTCATATGGAAATCACTTTCTCCACTTTCACTTCCGTAACACGAAAAATGCTTTCACTTCCGTAGCACGAAAAATGCTTTCACTGCCGATGTGAACAGACATTTCCAGCTGATAATCTAGATGTCTGAGACGCTGAAAGGGATGTTGAGTAGTATATAATCTCTACTCTCCATGCGATTATTTAAAAAAGCAGCAATTAAAAACGACAAGCAACTTTCGTTCCAATAATGTTATATGCTGCTGATTAAATTCAATTTATTTATTTGTTTGTATCAATCTTAACGAAAATCTAAGAATGTAAGCAAGCTATAGTTCTAAATAAGTTGAGCTGAGTACTTGGCCTTGGAGTACTGAAGACAACTCTTTTCCGCCTTCTTAAAGAAGTTTAAAATATTTGTTTAATTCAACTTATTTGGCGGAGTCTCAAAGTCGCTGGATCCAATTTCGTGTTTGTGGATGAACTGATCCTGCAATTTTTTGGACTGTTTCATGAAAAAGTGCATGGCGACCTTATTGAATCCACCCCAATCCAGTTTTCCAGTTCCTGAAAAATTTTGCAAGATGCGGAACTGTTGTTTCAATACTTGTAATATGGAGAGAGATGTACGATTTAATAATATTTTGAACATTCATCCCATATACCGTAAAAGCTCAAATGGTAGCCGTTGTCCTATAGTAGCCTTGCTCAAATAGTAGCCGAGTCCCGGCCACCGATTTTGTAAATAGTAGCCCCCAGCTACTATGTGAGTTTTTACGGTAATTCAGTACACTCTAAAAAAAATTGTACAAAATTTACTCAAGCCTGAGGAAGAGAAGGTCTCTACCTGTAATACACAAATCCTGATGCCCTTGGATATTTGGTTGGTCTAGGCGAGTGGTGGATCATCCTTGAATGGCTAGATGCCATGAGCACATTTGTGCCAGCCATAATAATGTTGAGAATGCATCACAAAATAAAACGAATAATTCTCCGAGCCATATTTTAATAGTGCCCAAACATCAATTAATTAATGATAAAATAATTATCTCTAGTTGACCATAATCGCCATATTGCGACATGTCGACAACACCGAAAAACATGTTTTGCCCAAATTTCTTGCATATCGCCCTAAAAATGCCGAAATTAAGCCAAAACAATTTAATTTAACTGGATTTCATCCATAGATTAATTTGCGGTATAAATCTCATTTTGCCCCGATCACACCGCGACCGCACCTCCTGGCGCCTAGGGGGTGTGGTCCAAAAGTTTACGGGATCCTCCCCCAGGGCTCATATGTATGATGCCGCAAACCGATTTCGATTATCTTGACGCGTTCTCGAGTTATAGTGTTGACAGACGGAAGGACGGACAGACAGACAGACTACCTAACCGATCGCATAAAGTAGCTTGCGCTACTTAATAATGAGGGTATTAATTTCGAGTTCGCAACGTTAGCAAAAAAATAAAGCTCGCAAAAAATTTTGGCACAAGTTGCAAATTGTCATAATGGCGCTGGTTTGTGCGGCAAGATATATAAGATTTTGTTTATGTACCCATCAATCCACATTCCATATTACGTCGCATTATTATTTTCATCAAGGTTACATAAAAAAAATGTTTGGCATAGTTGACTTCTCCGTTGCTGGAGTAACAAGGAGTTAGGTGATGAAGTGAAAAAAAGTGAGAATGCAATGTTCCTTTGTGTAAAATGGAGAAAAGCCAATGTCTCATATTGGGGCAGTTCACACGCATTGCAGAGTTTCTGCGGGTCTCTGGACATATCATTTACAATACATGCTGAAGCCACTTTTGAAATTAGCCTGGAGGTGTTTTTTTCTTATAGCAAATCGAAAAATAAGACATTTTTGTTCTTTCACATTTTTCGAAAAAGTGACGGTGTGGCCTGTTAAAAAACATTGAAGTTTTGCTATTTTACGTATACACCCATGTTAAATGGCAAAATTTCAATGGTTTCTAACAGGCCACACGATCACTTTTTCGAAAAATGTGAAAGAACCAAAATGTCTTATTTTTCGATTTTCCACAAGAAAAAAACACCTCCAGGCTAATTTCAAATATGGCTTTAGCACGTATTGTAAAGGATCGGCTGTCCAGAGACCCGCAGAAACCCTGCACACAGTGCTGAGTAAATAATAACGTGAATAGCTTAACCCGTTATTAGTGCGGTGCCACAATTTAAGAATACAAGTTTGGAGATGTATAAAATTGCAAATTTTTCCTAGGACTCCTAGGCTAGGAGTAATTGCTTAATGTCACTTTATTTTTTTTAGAAAATATTGCGACAAAATTTAGCATTTCCCACGAACGGAAATTACTCACAATTTTTAATGTGCTCAAGGATGCTCCCAACATACGTGTAAACCCCGGGATACCCTGGAGCAAAGAAATATAAATTTTAGTCAAGTAGGGTAAAAGCCTAAGATTGATTTCAACGCGACAAAGTTAACTTACTGTAGTATCCACAACCTTTTCCCCAACTTACAATTCCAACTTGCGCAGATCCAACGACAAGAGCCCCTCCTGAGTCACCCTACGTTTTTTAGTCAAATATCAACTTATTTTACATATCTGGAATTAACTCGTCACACAATTGCGAACTAATTTGGAATAGAAGTTTGGCATAAAAAAGACATTGTCTCTCAGAAGGGTGAGGGACGGAATTTTTACGCGCCAGAAGCATGTGCCCACTTGATTAAGGCTACCATCGATGACTCATCATATCGCGTCTCAGTGTGCCTTATTTCCTTATGGAGAACTTCAAATTGACACGCCACCGCCAGTTTTGAATACAATTTAAATGTTAATACTTCAAAACATTCTATATTTTTTTCTTAACAAATTGTTCTAGAGGGATTTCTGGTAAAAAATTTCCTTCCTCATTTAAGGATTTTTTTCCTTAAAATCTGTCTTGAACAATTTGGTAAGAAAAAAATAGAGGATTCAAATTATTAACATTTTTAATTTAATTACAAACTGACAGCGTAGTGTCAATTTTAAGTTCTCCATAAGGAAACATGGCATACGGGGCACAATGAGACGCGAGGTAATGAGTCATCGATGGTAGCCCCCCGCCATTCTGAAACAGAGAATAGGACACGCATCGATTTGTAACCTAACCTTGCAAGCATCTTTCCCGCCTTCACCGAGGTAACCTGCACACATCATCGTATCGGTTATTGGCAAAGGAACATATGCAACCAGGCACTGTAACTGATCGACCACTGGAACCTGGACTCCTTGCAGTTGGTCAGAAATTGGCCCAGTCGGCTCAAGATATCCTTTAAGAAAATTATCGAATTTTTGTAAAGAAGGTATTAATTCAATTCACTGTGAAATAAGCAAGAACCCCAGCCAGTGACGTTGCCCATTGTTCCGGCAATTGGCCTCGAAGAAGCAAGAGCTATTGTCTTCACTGCGGGACCAAGTACGAAACTTGACTCTAACTGAAATAATTTATTGTCACGGATAACGTAAAATTATATCGTGGTTCAGATTTAGTTTCACGCCTCATGTCACACTTACGATCAGGACTGACTCGTCATAAGTCATAAGTACTGAGTCGTAGAGCGGATGCTGGCATATTCTTCACCCGGAGAACTTGCCCGCCTGCTATGTGATAAGACGATCCAGCTCGGACAGTTAGGGTGCCTGCGGATTGTCCATCAGTGCAATGCCTTCAGAATTAAATCTTGCTGATAATTTAATCAGTTGAGAATATTTAATTATTATGAATTTTGAATTTGAAATGATTTATTAATCCTTCTTAGGCCACTCGGGCCCATAAAGGAGCATAAATTATGAGTTATTAAAGGTTAAACAGTTTGAGTTCCTTATCTCTTTCTAATATGAGAGTAACAACAATTTCAAACGGAATTTCTTAAGACAGAAAAAAATTTGAATTGGACGAGATTCTCAGGGTTCGTAGACCTGATTTTTCTGAAACCCACGGTGGCAGTCTCCCGTCTCAACTTGCCCCCCTTGCGGAGTGGGAGGAGCTCAAAGTCGAAAATATCGCTCGGTCTGGACCCCTAGCGCGAAGAGGGGTCAATATTTTTGAATGCGGTTTTCACCAAAATTTTCCTAATTTTTTTGTCTACAATGGTTTTCGAGCATTTTTTGAAATTATCAAAACGAAATTCACAAAATTTGTTTTGGCGAAATTCTAAATTCACCTCTGACTTCCTATTCCGTAGTCTGACATAGGGAATTTTCCTTTGAACTTCCGTTTGAAATTATTGTTACTCATTAGTGATTACTGTGTTGTGCGTGGAGTGTGCAGATGTGGGTTAGTGGCGTGAGAGTAGAAGTGTATGTGTGCATTTATATAATGGTAAGTTTTTGCTAGTGGTCGGTCCGGTGTTGGGATATATAAAGAAAGAGAAGGGAAAGTGTCATTGTCTGTCATTGGGTGAATACTTAATTATTATGAAAGTACGCAGTATTTCATGTCTTGCGCGGTAAAGTAAACAAAAAGTGTAAGAAATGTAGCGCCATCTAGCTTGTAGTTTAGTGCATTTCAGTAAAGTCGTTGCAGTAAGTAGTTTAGTGCATTTCTTGCAAGTGGTCGCGAAACACTGAAAGTATGTACGATAGCCTAACAACGCTGCAAGATTGCTTTGCGCGATCGGTATCACCAAGTTGCCCCACCTGATTCAAAACATGCTGATTTTTCTATAAATTCAAATCCAAACAGCAACGGAGAAATATGGACTTTGCGTTTTGAGACTTTGAAATATTGTCCCCCAATTATTTGTAGAACTGAAACTAGCGCATTGTTGGGAGCATCGTATAAAATATTTTATGTGCTTACGCCGCTGTCAGAACACGGTTTGGGGAAATGAGAGATCCTCCACACATATGCGATCCATAGGATTGAACGGAAACCTGATATGGATAATTTTCTATGTCCACTGGATCTCCGCCAACAATTTGAACATTGTTTTCTATTCCTTTACCATCGATGGTAAAACTGGTTGGGTGACCTGGTCAAACAAACAATGAATACATTTATTTAAAAAGATTGTCTCATATTACCCTACCTTCCCCACTCTCCGATAACGCGATAAACACTATGACGCCAAGGGCAAATAGTTTCATGGCAAAGTATAACTGGGAAATTATACCAAGTGTATTATTAATTTCAGCAGTTCTGGCTTGTACAATGGTCAAGTAATGACTGACTTGCAGAGCCGACAAGTGGGGGAATTTATATGGTTTTAGTTTGACTTAAGTGCCATGGCAATTTCACTTCTGTCCTGATAATTATGTGGCAGGTCGGACCGTGTGTGGACTACAAGGTGTTTACACATTTTGTTGAAAGGCAATTTATATTGTGAACTCGTGTTCCACTTCGCACGAAATTTTGCACACATGTTATTGAACGTCACGACAACGAATGTTCAAAATTTCAAATTTGTATCTTTAGTAATACGCCCTGCAAGAGACCCCAAAGTTAAGGCCTCAGGGAAAGTTGTTTACGAAGCAATTTTAACCCTGAACTGTATCCAAATTAAAGTGCATCCGAAAAGTAGAGGGCTGATGGAAAAACGGCTCTCATTTGGTTATGATTGAATATATTTCAAAGGATCTAAATTTATACAAAAGCTTAATAGTTCTATGAGATAGTTTTTCCCTTAAGACAATCTCCTATCGCATTATAACCTGTGGAGATTAGACTCTTCCGAGCTCTGTCCATGAGCCGTTTTCCGAACTTTACTGCAATGTCCTTCGCGATCTTGGCCCAAATTTTCGAAATCCGCAGAACGTTTTAAGCTTTTTCTCTCCATTAGAATATTGTCTTCTACAATTAGTCCAGAAACTATCAATATCACGCATTTGAGGCACATTTGGAGCGTTGTTTGATTTGTTCATATCTAATCCAACGTATTCCGCAGTATGGCAAACCAAGGTTTTCTTTGGAATGATTGCTTTTGGCTTTAGTCCATCTATGTATTTTCTATCTGCTGGAGTAGTTGCATGAAAATGTTTACGTCCGGGTTCATTATCAGGGTCACTAGTCACCTAGATCTCATCGTCAAAAACCAGGACTTTGCTCAACCTGTTTTTGTAAATTTTCCTGCATCCTGGTTTAGTTCATAACTGCTGGGATCCAAAATATTTCAGCCCTCCTTGCATTATATACCCTTTCATGCCTAAAGTGTGAAGTTTAATTCGACATATCGTTGACTTCGATATCTTCGGATTGGTGGATGTTCTGCACAAAGTTTTAGATTCTTAAATTCAAAACTGGGACTGTGAGTAGCCGGACAAAGTTAGCATCCTTCACTACGAGGCCTATGTATCCACATACCACCAAGTTGGCCCCACCGTACCCCCAAAAATATTAACCGAAATGAGACTGCGAACTTGGGTTATCATCGGATAATGTTACATAATTTGGTAGATTTTTTCGTGCAAAAATATCTAGAACTGGTGCATATGAAAAGTAAAGCATGACAATTTCTTTCTCTCAGGAAACTAGTAACTCAAATCCGCAATCTTATTTCCTCCGGAATTGGTCGAAAACGGTCCTAGAGCTGAAAACCAAGATACAGACTAGTTGCTACGAAGACTGGAGAACATATTGACACTAGAAACGCAATTTACAATCATCACGTTCAGAAGTAATGAAGTAATATATACTTTCTACAAAATCTGTAAACACCCTCTGTAAAGGTTGACGACAGGTTGGGATAAGCACAATGACGAAATTTATGACGGGCAAGTAGAATCAGAGGTTAGGAGATAACAAATGCACAATACATACATCCACTGAATGTTCAACTTAATACCTAATCTTGCAAATTCTGTAGCATGGAGTTTGCAGGATCAGCTATGAAGCCGTATATTTATCCTGGCTTATCCTTAATCCAGCAATTATGTATACTTTACTTTTAAATAAATCCCTGCAATCAAAATGAGTGGCGTGACTTGGGCCATACAGAAGGCTTTAACCTCTAAAGTGCAAGCTTGGTGCAAAATTTATGAGAGTGACGCACAAAATTTGAGATAAAAAGGTGCAGGATTAATTGACACTGGTTAAATAGGGGTCTGGGACCACCCAAAACAAGAGTAAGAATTATCCGACTCGACAAGGGTATCCAACAGGTATTTCAAAAGTGGAATTAAAGTGTTTCATTATGTTCACCTTATGAAAAGAAAACAATTTGTGGAAATTTTTTCGCGCCAAAACTTTCCCTGGGGAGTTGTGAGACCTTTGGCTGTGTTACATGATGGCGTAAGGCACCACTTATCTCTGTAACGGGTTGATAAAATTACATAATATTTTTTGCAATACTATTGGCATCTATGCCGAGGTTCGTTATTTGAATTGAGTAGAAATTCCAAATTTCAATGGTTTTTTCACAATGATAAAAAAATTGGTTTTTCGAACTAATGAAAAATGTGTAGCAAAATATTGCTGCGTTGGATTTTCGCCGATTTTTAATATGTTGTAGATAATTGGCAGTAGAACAATAGTTAAATTACCCCCAAAGCACAAATGGACCTGCGTGACCTTGTTTCTTGACCTTGGTTGAAATGTCGTCAGATCAAATCTCATGTAGCCAAATGGGGTACGTGTTTTCGACATACGTGGAAGGTGGAAGTTACCGGACGGGGTTTTATCTCTATGACACTCGTCGAAATGAATAGGCGTTTATAGATGTTTCAGGCCTAGGTGATGCCTCAAGAAGATTCATCTTGGCTACAACGTTTTGCGCTGAAAATTTAAAGAGGCTGTAGATATTTGGTGGGAGCTATGAATTTGCTGAAATACGAAACGAAATTTGGTACGTGGATGTAAGCGCAACTTTACCCGCCGACTCACGAACGGGTACAAATGATTAGAATTTCAACGATCCCCAAGTGTCAATGAGGAGGCCTCTATATTGAACCGAGATCCACTAACGCATACCAGTCAAACAATCTGTAAATTTTCTGCAAATTATCTGCCAAAATATCTGTAAATTATCTGTCAAAATATCTTTAAATTATTTTAAAATTATCTGCAAATTATCTGTCAAATAAATTAGTCACTTAACTCTCAAGGGAGAATTAAGGAAAGCATCATTCTGGGATGGAGGCGCCAAATTACGGGGAGGAATCCTTCTCTCCAGTTTAATATAATAATAATAATAATAATAAGTCTTTATTGTCAAAAAGGTAACAACTTGAAACATGCTGATTTCCAACCATTGACATTTACTAATTAGTTTTTTAAAATAATATGAGTAGGATTTTTAAACTTAAAATTTACATCTATTTTTTAAAATATAAGTAGTCAACAAGGATTTAAAGGTATTAGGATTATTTTCATCTTTTATTTCATTTGGTAACCCATTCCAGAATTTAATTAACCTATATTTCACACTTTTTTCGAATAACACAGTTTTATGGGGTGGAATAATAAAACAAGTTCTGGATCTTGTTTCGTGAACCGAATCATGAATAGTAACAAAATTTTGTAGTAGCTTAGGAATATCGATCTTAAGATTGTTTGTAAAACTTTTAGCAAAAAGGGATAGATAATAGTTTGGGTACTCATCTAATCTAAGTAAATTAAACATTTCATATTGTAAATTTATGTCAATAATACGAGGAGAAACCCATGATTTGAGACAGTTGTCAACAACTTTTTGGACGCGTGCTAACGTGGTACTGGATGACCCAGCCCAAATTTGAATACCATATTCAAGGCAAGACATTACAATTGCGTTGAATATTAAATGAAACTTTTTAGCTGGAATTTTCCTTTTAGGTTTCAGAAGATAGTGAATACGAGGTGTTATTTTATTTATAATCTTACTTGCATGCACATCAAATCTTAACTCCTCGTCTAACCAGACCCCTAAATATTTAAATTCGGAAACCCTGGATATTTCAAAGGTTTCCGTTTTTAATGAGTCGATATAAGGGATTTTTTTCGTCCGACTATTTCTAAAAATAGAAAAATGGTTCTTTGTCCAGTTTATTTTCATGCTTTTTAAGTTACACCATGCATGTAGCATTTCAATCTTTTCGATTGCTATTTTTAAAAGTGTATTAAAGTTTTTATGAGCCGCTAGGGCCGCAATATCATCGGCAAAGACACCCTTGTGACCTTCAAGTTGGTCGACGCCGTCGTGTACATATAAATTAAACAGGATTGGTCCGATTTTGGACCCTTGAGGGACAGATGCATAAAGCGGGAAAGAGTCTGATACAAAGTTTCCTAGTTTAATTCTTATGTATCTGTCTTTGAGGTAGTCTGAAATTAGGACTATAAGATATTCTGGCAAATGATAAGTGTTGCGCAATTTGTCAATTAAAAGTTTGTGGGAAATTGAATCAAACGCACGAACCAAGTCAAAATATAAAACTAGAGTGTAATTTCGTTTTTCAAGAGTGTCATAAATTTTCTGAGTCAAGTGAGTTAGTGCATGGAATGTAGAGTGCTTGTTCCTGAACCCAAATTGAGATTCAGAAATCAGTTTTTTGTTCGTGCATATTGTGGTGAGTCTATGTGTTAAAATGTGTTCATAAACTTTACTGAAAAACGGTAGAACCGATATCGGGCGATAACAGTTTGGATCCGTTTTTGTGCCCCCAACTTTAAAAAGTGGTGTAACTAGGGCTGTTTTCCACTGAGATGGAAACTTCCCCATCTCCAAGCTATTGTTAAATAGAACTGAAAGTATAGGTGAAAGTTCATCGGGAAAGTCTTTAATAATGTGTGTGGGAATGTCAGACATACCAGGGGATTTTTTTGGTTTCATTCTACGAATCGTTCTGTTTACTTCAAGTGGAAAAATTGGTGTAATTACTTCTGATGATGATAACCGAGGGATCTCTAGATTGTCCAATGTCTCAGGTATAATAATTACTGATTCAGCAATGGCTTGACTAATTTTTTTCGGACAATTTGTTAGTTCATCATTCACTAGCAATTGGTCAATTTTTGTCGACTTATAGTTTGCACTTGTGAGCTGTTTGTATGCAAACCATAAGTCCTTGGATTCATTGGATTTGTTAAATAGGTCGTGGAAATGTTTTTGTTTGTTTTTTCTACACGTAATGTAAAGTAAGAGTTTACGACTCCCTTTCCCACACCGCATGGAGAGCAGAGAACGCTACCCCGGGATTTTCTGGGTTGGGGTTTTTGGAATTTTTGTGGGTTTTTGGGTATCAAAACCCGGAAAAACCCCTATGC